ATGTGTGAGATATTTAATGACTACTAATACCTTTCCTCAGGTCTATGATAATATGATATAAAACCCAAAAGACTTTATGCATAGTGCCTTGGGTTGGGAATATATTGACACATGAGGATCATGTCATAAATGAGCTTGAGCACTAAATGACATTGACATTTGGTAGATCTCAGAGTAATTTATCATTAGATATCAGTTTCACATTTTTAAAATTTCTGATGATATATATGCGCTTTTAAAAGCTGCATGATTAGATTAGGACAGTAAAACTATTATGTATAACTATAATTAGTATAACATATTTGTCAAAACCCAGAGAACTGTACAAGCTAGAGGGAGCCTTGTCGGTCAGTGCTTACTAGAGAAACAGATTTAATGTAGGATACACAAATATATAAGAATTTATAATATTGGTTTACGGTGGCCATTTGCAGAGTCAGGTATGGAAGGGTGCAGAGGGTCTGTCTGCATACTGGAGACTGAAGGATTCAGTCAAAGGTCTGGAGCTCACTACAGTGTCCCATGTGAGTCTGTATCAGGAGAGCGAAGGAAGGCTGCAGGGTCTGCACTGGAAGCCAGGAGACAGTGCCCAAGGTGAAGGGGAAGACTTGAGCTCCTCCGAAGAAACAGAAGCCAGCCTTCCTTCTTCATTTCCCTTTTATACCATTCTGGTGCCAGTCCTCCCTAGGGTGGGTTTTCCACACCCAGAACTATGCTGAACCAATTTAGTTGGGGGTTTCTTACTCAGGTTGACACAATAAGTTATCACAGAACCTTAATATAAACTAGATTTTCCTTAATACTGTATCAATATTGGTTCATCCATTGTAATAAATATACCACACTGAAGTAAAATGTTTAGAATAGGGAAAAATAGGGGGAGGGCATTGTGGTAAGGGGGTGGATAGGGACTTTCTCTTCTTTCTGTTTAATACTCCTGTAAAGCTAAAATTGTGCTAAATCTACAAAAAACTGCAGGTATGATAAGAGAAAGGGTCTTGCTCTGTTTTTTTGTGTTTTTGAAACAGGGTCTCACTACGTAGTTCAGGCTGGCCTTGAATTCACTATGTAGCCTAGGTTGGCCTCAAACTCCCATTGATCGTCCTCCTCAGTCTCATGAGTGCTAAGGTTACAGGTGTGTGCCACTATACCTGCTCAGAAAGGCTCTTTGAACGTGTTCTTGTCTGCCATATTGAACGTAATGTAAGAGGAAAAACCAGTGTGTTTTGGTGAATTCATCCCTTCCTTTCAACTTGGCCTTACCCCCACTTTGCTTTTAGACTTTTATTGCATAGTTCCTTGGTGGCTCACAGCTGTCTGTGATGTGAGGTTTGCCATTCCAAGTGTCTGTTCACAGATCTGGGGAGAGGCTCTGGTAAGCTTCCACTAATGAAATAACATCCTTATCTTCTGTGCCTAAGCAGTGGCAGAAGAATCTTCTGTGAAGTGGGTGGCTGAACATCATGATCCTAGTTTTGGACTGCTTGTAACCATGCTGGACTCAGAGCATTGCTCTCTCTTCCCAATCTTGCCTACCATGGACACACAACATACCAGTGATTCCCAGGGCCAGCTCCTAGGAGACCTTCCTTTCCTAAACATCAACTCCTAAAATTAGAAAATCATGAAGACTATTTAGTGAGGCATACTTTTCATCTTTAAATCAAAGACTTGTAGAGATAACCCTCAAAGATGTATCATTTTAAGTCTACTCCATTCATTTTATGATACAGAACAGGTGTATAGTTGAACATAACTTTGCCCAGATCATAGCCCAGTCATCTTTTTACTACAAAACACTGCTACCACAGCCAGTTAGAAGTTGAGCCTGGAATTTCTAGTCCATACTCACATGGGTCTTTATTGCAAACCATTTCTGCTATAGTTTCGTGTGTGTGTGTGTGTACAAGTAACCAAGTCTCTGTAGTCCAGGATGGTCTGTAACTCACTATGCAATCTAGGCTGGCCTTGCATTCGAGATCCTCCTGCCCCAGCCTCCCAATGCTGGCATTATAGGTGTGTGCCTATTAAATTAAATTAGATTAAAATGAACACTTAAACTGGGAATGGTAGCACATGCCTGTAATTCCCAGCATTGGGGAGGCTGAGGGAGGAGGATTGTGAGTTTGAGGCCAGCCAGAGCTGTATAGTGAGACCCTATCTCAAAAACAAAACAAAACTATATTATTAGCCAGGCATGATGGCACATTCTTGTAATCCCAGCTAATCCGGAGGCTGAGGCCACAGAAAAGCAAGTTTGAAGCCAGCCCGGACAACTTCACACACTTTATCTTAAGCAATAAAAAGGTCTGGGGATGTAGCTCAGTGCAAAGGCCCTGGGTTCAATCCCAAGTTCTGCAAAAACAAAAATGATTCCTTGATTTTTCTTGCAGAGAGTTTGTGGGGAATATTTTATGTCAGTTTTGTTAGAATTCAAAAAGACCTTAGGATAATAGATAATTGTGTCATGAACTCCTTGAGAAGATAATATGAAGTTTTTAATGTTACATTCATAATTTTAATTCATTTAATTTTTGTAATAGATGTGAGGTGGATTTTCTTCCTAGGATATTCTCTGAGGCAATTTTGAAAATAAACATGTCCAAAGAAAGAAAACTGTATCAAGAACCCCCATGTTAGTGTTCCTATGATGATTGGATTGCCTATTGGTTATTCCAATTCTTTACTGTAAATTAAGTTTCATTTACAGTTCACTTGAAATTCTGCAGAGGCTGGTTATCATTATCTGTGCCAGCTGCTTCTTTTATTCTTGCCTGCTTTCATTGTTCTTAAAGATGAAAGGAAACAGGAAATGTTGCTGACTTTTCAAATGTAAGATTTTATGGCAGAGGAGGTTGGATTTCACAATATAATCTCGCAATATAACACAGAAATAATACAAAATTAGTTTTGTTATTTCTGGCCCTCATTACAGACTGTCTGATATTAGTATTGTGTGTGCTTTTTAGTAACTTTTTGCCTCAATACAAAAATAATATACATCTGTTGTGGACAGTTTGATAAAAAGCAGGAAAGTACAAAGAAAATAATCATCACTTGTTATTTCAGTACCTAATGATAATCACTATTAATATTTTAGTTATTATGTTTAGTTTTTTGTTTTAATAGTGATACAACTGAACATTTATAGTATTTTAAATATACAAATATTACTTTTTCATTTGTTTTAAATATGCTTCTGTGGCATCATTGTTAAAACTTGAATTTAACATTGTTAAAACATTCTACTATGTGGATATATCATGACCTTATTTAACCAGTTCCTTTTTTTTTTTTTTTATACCAGGGATCGAACTCAGGACCTTGTGCTTGCGAGGCACCACTAAGCTAAATCCCCAGCCCTAACCAGTTCTTTTTGAAAAACCTTCAGCTTGTTTCCAGTTTTTCTCCTAACAGTCGGTTGCTGGCATAGGCTTCATGATAGAAGAATTTATTTCTTACAAGACTTAAGAAAATATTTAGATATTTACAAGTGAAAATCTAAAGTAAAGTTAATTAAGTTAACCCATTGCTTTAATTGTTTTCATTCGTTTGAGAGGAAGTCTTGGTATGTTACGCAGGATAACCTCAGACATGGTCCTCCTACATGGATGGCACTGTGGGCATACGGGACTGTCAAGTACTAATTAATTCTTTTTTTTTTTTTTTTTTGGTACCGGGGATCAAACTTGAGTCCTTGCGCTTGCACAGCAGGCGGCAAAACCACTGATATAAATCCCCGGCCCTAATTAATTCGTAATCTAGTAACTAGTTCACATTTACCATGCTGCTTTAAATGGTACTTCCTTTTTTGGGAGGGGGTACTGGGGATCGAACTTGGACCTTGTGCTTGCTTGCGAGGCAGGCACCGGAACACTGAGCTAAATCCCCAGCCCTAAATGGTACTTCTTAATGGTACTTTATATGAGAGTATACTTAGGTTGATTTATAGTTTCAATTATGATGAATGTTTTAATTTTAACAGAAGCCAATTTTAAAACTTTATTTTTGAGTTTGTACATTGAACTTTCATGTGACATGTCTGACTTTTAGTCCATCTATTTTGTGTGACCTTGAATTTTAAAAATGCTTTTCAAATTGTTGCTTTCACAAAGATTAATATTACAATTTCTTTTTAAAAACCTGAATGATTCAGTAATATACAAAATATTAACCATGGGTTAAGCATTTTATTAGTAATATATATTTATTTGTCTCATTTTCTCATAAATCTGTAATTTTTCCTTGCATATATGTGTAATAATTTAGAATTAGTTGCTTAATAGATTGTATAGTACTTAATACTGTGGAACTTTGAAACATGTTGTCTAAAACCTTTATTGGCTACGTGTACCAATACCAAGTTGAATTTTGAACTTTTTGTATATATTTGCATCAAAACTGGTTTTGACCATATAACATTGATTTTTATGTGGATGTTGGAAACACTGAACTTTTTAATCACAGTTATCTGTAGCAAATGGAAGTGTGTACCTTTTGTCAGCATTGTGCAATCAGTTTGTGTGACCACCTTTGTGATGTCTTCTTCCCTCGAGACTACTTCTTACTCTTCTGGCCCTACCCAAGTAAAACTTATCTTTGTGGCATTTGATTTATACCTCTATAAGGATATTACCTGACTTTTTACATCTAATTGGCTGTGCAGGTGATTGTTTCCTCCATCAATTATATGTTCCCTGAGGAATAGAATTTTGTTTCACTCATGTTTATATCCACCCACTACATGATGCAACATTACCCTTACATTTTTGCTAGGATTTGGGCCAAATACTTAGGGGTAAGATATTTTAGTGTTCAGTAAATGTTCATTGAGTAAAGTGAGTAAATTTGTAGACATAGTTATTTAACTGGCAACAGAACTCTGTATTTTATAAACAAGGTTTATTAATCTCATTTTCAGTTGTACTTCATTTGCTTTTTAAATTGAGCAGATGTCTTAGTATCTACTTTTTTTCACTAAATAAACATTTCTCTTTTAGGATTTGTCCATACAGATATGACAAAAGACTTGAAAGAAGAACATTTAAAGAACAGCATCCCGCTTGGGAGGTTTGGAGAAACTATTGAAGTGGCACACGCGATTTTGTTTCTTTTAGAATCTCCATATATTACAGGACATGTTCTAGTGGTGGATGGAGGATTACAACTTGTGATGTAGAGATTGTTCGTTTATAAATGGTGGTTTGAATCACTTTGGCTATTGATTATAAATCACACCTACATGGGTGACATTTACTAATCAAATATTGATGCCACAAATGTTGATTCTCATGTTTATATGATTGTCTGAAAAGAACAGCTGTGTTTTAGCTAAAAGGGTATGTGTTGTCTACCATTGATTATCTTACGGGCTGTAGTAATTTTGGTATATTGACATTTTGCAAGGGATATTAACAGGTATTAACTTACATATTTTATCTCAAAAGTGCAAAATTATATGTCTAATTGTGATGAATTTTTTCACTGTGTCAGGTTGAATTTTCTAGACCTTAACCTTTTGGACTTTTGCCAAAATAGGAGTAGGTGTATTTACAGAATGGTCATTAGTTATCAGTGCTTCAGCTAACATTAAACATTGTATTGGTTGTCCATGTGCTTAGGCCATCAGTTTTTCTATAGGTTGGAAAAAAATAGTATCAGTTAGATAAAGATATGAAGTTAGATTCTATTTCTTAGAGAGGTATTATCCTTGGTTAAGCAGTTAGGCAAAATAATCTGCAAATTTAAGTATGGTTCAGTTGACCCATTCTTTAGAAATTCTCAAAGGTGATGAGGATTAATCCTTACATTAAGGTTTTAATATCTGGTACAGTAATGAGCTGCACAGATCATGAATGTAGGGAGTGTTCTTTTTACTCACAAAAAAACCCCCCTCACTATTGTGAGCTATTTCAAAAATGTGTAAGAAATATATTAAGAGTATTTTGTGGGCCAGGGGTGGTGGCATATACCTGCAATTCCAGCTACTCAGGAGACTGAGGCAAGAAGATTGCAAGTTATGACCAGTCAGGGCAACTTAACAAGCCCCTGTTGAAATAAAACAATAAAATTTAAGAAAAATAAAAAAGAGAGCTGGATATATAGCTTAGTAGTCATAGGTTCAATCCCCAGTATCACAAAAAAAGTATTTTGCATTAGTGACATAATAATGATTCTTACCCTAATATTTTAGAAAGGTAATAATTATTCATAAATAATCATTAAAAATAACATGCAGTAATAATAGTTAAATGTCTTTACAAGAAGCGAAGCATTAGTTTTGGAAGAGAATATTTGCCTGGGAATAGAGATAAAGACACAAACTGAACGGAAAATATCAGATTTCTTTCTTGTACTGAATTCTTGGGAATAATGTGATACTTCAGTGTCACTGGATTTATGTTGGTTTTTATTATATCATCGTTAAAAATTATAAATATTGTACTTTAAAAAGTAACCTTTTATAGCTCTTTGGAAGATGAACATTATCTAAGCAGAGACTTAATTATATATTGAAAATTTGTGCAAAAATATGAGTGGGATATACTAATGTTCAGTGTAATAGTATTTTAAGTTAAAGCTGTGTTCTAAATCAAGATTCCTGATTTCTTAAAAATTATTCTTAATTTATCTTTGAAGTAGTTTTCTTAAATCTTCAGAATATGGGAAAGTTTAAATGTAAATAAAGCTAGCTGTTGAACAGATCTGCTAAATGCAAAGCATAGTAATATCTAGAATGTATCAGACATTAGCAATTCCAGGTACAGAAGTGTAGCCTTTAGGATGGCTTCAAATGTAGTGCTTCTAAGCTAGGAGAGTTTATGCCGACAGAGGATGTAGCTTTTCTTACCCAGTCTCACCCACTGGCTTTTGGTTACGTGCATTTCATTACAGTATTTCACTCAGGCTTTAATTCCCTTTGCTGAACATGTCATATTATGAAGTTACCAGTGAGGCTGATTTGACTTGTGATTAACCCATTTATGTCATATTTGCAATTTTTTGACCTTTTGCTTGAAATTCATACCTAGACAAATTCAAGGAAGAAAAATTTGAAGAGAAAAATTTTTATGTTTCCTTGTTTGTGCTATTTCAATAATGGAACACTAGGTATAAATGGGTTAAGAAAGAATGTCTTTTGCTGAAGTACTGACATTGAGATGTGAGTTAACCTTTAAGTGTATGTCTATACACTTTAAAATAAGAAATAAACCTGGGCTGGGGATTTAGCTCAGTGGTTCCACGGCCTGCCTGGCAAGCACAAGGTCCTGAGTTTGTTCCCCAGTACCACAAAAATAAATAAATAAATAGAGTAAAATAAGAAATAAAACCTTTTAAACTGTTCTAATCCTCCCCACATTATATCAAACTGGTAGACTATATGGAGATACATTAAAACACAAAGTAAATCTTTACTCTGCTGTATTCTAGGTGAATTCTCCACCTACTCTCACTGACCTGTTAAAACATGTAATTTCATACTTACATTTTGTTTCTAAAATCAGTTGCCAGCTGTTGCCTTATACTCAGAATTTGTGAACTTTAGTGAATTCTTGACCAGAAGCCTCATCTGTACCTGATACCTGACCTTAAAAAGCCCATAGTCCAGGCTGTGGTTAGCATTAAAAAAAAAGTTAATCGTTAAAGACAATGTATTAAAATTTTGCATTGAGATTTTAAAATTTGTACTCTTTTCATACTTTTATTCATACTTAATTTATGAGGGATTTTAAATGCTTTTAAGGCATAGAATTATTTCTGCCTACTTTGGAGGGGAAATAATTTGGACAGAGAAGATCATTTAATTTATGTGCTTCTGTTATCCAATAAAGAAGGAAGACTCTTCTGGATATTGAAGAATTATACGTTACATCACAAATATTTTTCCAAACTTTTTAAATGAAAATATGTGTAAATGAAGAAATCATACCCCTGTCCTAACTTGACATACTATACTTAAATAAAGTATTTAATAAACTTTTTATGTTAATTTTGCCTTCCAGCTATATCTTAAGCTCCTAAGCATAGAGTCTCTACCATGTTTTCATTCATTTAATTAAGTAATTCAACAAATAGTTACTGTACTTCTTTTGATACCTCCACTTTGCCTAGTTAGCCCTGAGCACATTGGGTAACCTAAATAAATACACAGGTTAATTTTTTTAAATGATTTGGGAAAATCAGTCACTACATTGTGCTGCAGTTGGGAGGGTCATTGAGATGAATCTGTTCTGGTTCTCAGTACATATCCTGGCATACTGTTTCTTGATCAAATCTTTGTGATTTACCTTCCTTTTTTGGGGGGTGGTATTTATCTCTAACTCTGATGGCTTTTTTTTTTTCTTTAACTTTATAACTCAATTTGCAGTGCTAAGCTAATCAAATATTTTCTCTTGTGCTATATGCCTTCAGTTTGGATAGTTACCACAGTTCAATTTAGAATTCTTGGGCCAGTAGCCCATTCGGAGATGACGTCAGTACCTCCTGTGTCACCGAACCTAACTCCATTCACTTGCTGCTTGAAAAAGACCCAGTGAATGAAGGACAGTTTCTTGGGGCAAGGAAGAAGGTTTGGTAAGCCAGCAAGGCGGAGAAGATGGTGGACTATTTCCTGAAAGGCCATGTTAACACAGGTTTTAAAGTTTCTTTTGTCTTTAGCGGAAATGATGGGTAAAACTGGTAATATGATGGGTATAGCCGGTAATATGCTGCTTTGCATCAGTTCCTGGAGGGGGAGGAGAGATGGAAGTTTCAGAGAAATCTCCGTTGCTGTGTAAATGATCAAGGAGGGCTGTGTCCTCGCTGTCACTGTTCCATTCCATAATGAATGGGATGAGAAGCAATGACTGCTCTGGCTACTTGGCTGCTGATAGTGGGTGAAAGAGGGGTGATGGTGGAATGAAACAGCCTAACCTGAGTTGGAAATATGGGAGGATCTGAAGACCCAAGCAAGCCATCCTACAAATGCAGAATAGGTATCTACATACTTTGTACTGATTATAGAATGCAGTTCCCTTCTTTATAAACTGCCACTTGTATCTTGGGATACTGGGTTTCAACCTCTTCAAGTTATTTGTATTAAGATAGGTAACAGGAAGTAGGGAGATCTTTTTCAAATGGGAAGGAACAAGAGATGGGGGAGGGCAGGAAAGGCAAAAGAATGAAAGAAATAGAAAAAAAATAGTGGAAATAGAGCTTTTGCAAATGGGAAGGAGGAACAAGAGTTGGAGCAGGGAGGGAAGGGAATGAAAAAAGAATTAAGATGTTACTTAGTACTGACTAAGTAGTGCCTGTGTCCACCAGAATATTTATTAATTTGCTCCTCACTGTCAGTTTTACTTGGGACCCCTGTGGGGCAAATTTCTATGAGGTGTCTTAATCCAAGGGAGCCCCTGGGGCTCTTCATTCTGAATCTGAATATTCTTTTTCCAGTATCTGCAAGGCCTGAGTCTTTCTCCCCTTTTTTGGCTATTTGTACCTTTTTCAACTCAGGACAACCTTTCTTTGAAGGTCTTTCTTTTTTACACATCAATGTAGGCACATTGATCTTGCCCAGAGGAACCTTAGTTTCTTTTTTTGTTGTTGTTAAATTATTTTATTGTTACATTTTAGGTATACAACACAATTACATTTCTCATTGGGAATTGTACCTTTACATGATGCATCTTGGTTCTTATTTTTTCCCCATTCCTAGCCCACCCTTCCCTATTTACAAAGACTTTATTTCCATTTTTTCCATTTCTCAGCATTTTTCCTTTCCCTTCTTTCCCTTCCCCTGCCCCTCCCACTACCCCTACCCCTTTGGACCTTTTCTTCCTATTTTGCATTATCAATTATTCATTCTAATCATTGGTACATTTTAGGTATACAATATAATGACATTCATCATTGGAAATTTGCACTTTTACATAGTCTCTCTTGGTTCTTATTTTTCACCATTGCCCAGCCCTCCCTTCAACCCCTCCATTCCTCGCTATTTACAACGATTTTGTTCCTATTTTTCCATTTTCTCATATTAATCTCATTCCCTTCTAGCCTTTCCCCTAGCCCTCCCACTTCCTTCCCCTTTGCCCCTTTTCTTCCTATTTCACATTACCTATTGAAGGACTTTTTCTCTTAAGATTCTAATGCAGTGGCCAGCCAAGAAACATTGTGTTTTACATCCTCCTCCTCCTGCAGTTCTCTTTGTTAAGCAAGTTAGATGCAGTATCCAGCAACTGGGATGGGTTCATCCCCAAAGCTCCTTCATCCTTTACAGCTTTCTCTTTAAAGTCTGGGGGGCTCTGCTTTTAAATGTCATCCTCACCAGTCTTGTGTTTTCTGGTCCCTCAAAGTCAATATCAGTATACCTCCTGTATGCTCTATATAGCTTCCTCAAGAATTGGGATGGGTCCTCCTTTATCTTTTGTCATAATTGTTGAGACACTTGTCTAGGCACCCCTTTCCTTAAGCCTAATAGAATGGATCACTGATAGTGTTCCAAAGGAACAATGTGAATCTGCCACTGGAATGGGTGTATTAGTAGCAAGGGTTCCACTTGGGTCTCCTGGATGGAGCAGAAGCACCTCCTCTGTAGCCTTATTAATCACCATTCTCTTTTCATCTCATATTAACAGTATATTCATCAGAGTCTGTATATCTCCCCAACAAGGGTGATACGTTGCAAAGTCACAGATAAAGGATATAGTCCATGGGAGGCGATTTTCTCTGTAGGACAGATTATTATTATTCTAGTTAAACCAGTCCAACATTGAAAAAGATTGTGCATCCAAAGAAAACCAACTGGTAGTGTATTTATATTTAGACCATAGGTCAGTTATTGTCAAATAGGAAATTGCCTTGCTCTAGAAGTTGTTCACTGGTTGAAGTGTGTACGGTGGTGGGATTTGGAAGGCAGTACTATTTTAGAATTCCTTTTTTGCTCATAAGGTGATATCTAAGGATATCCCTTGCCTTTTGGAGGGAGCAACAGGAATGCTAAAGGGGGAAGAGATGAGGTGCCAGTGAAGACCCCAAAAGGCAGTAGGTAGTACCAGTGGAAGTGTAGGAGGGAATTTAATACTTTCATTATCATCTCTTCTTCCTCCTCTCAATGTTCCATCTGATAAATTAATCTTTTTTGTTTTTTTCTTTTGCCCTTTGCTCCATAAGCTTGCACCTTTTTTTCCCTTGCTTCATCTTGGTGCAAGATCAGAAATGCCCCTCCACAGGGAATATCAGTGTTTTTTCCTGCTTGTTCAAAAAATAATTCTAGTTGTAAAATAGTATTGATAGTTAACTATATGCAAAGACCACATTATATTACAATAAATATCTTTTTTTTTTGGTATCAGAGATTGAACTCAGGACCTTGTGCTTGTGAGGCAGATGCAGTGCCACTGAGCTAAATCTCTGGCCCTAGGTATCATTTTTTTGGTCTTTGGTTCATAACTAAAATTAGACCAGTTATTCAAAATCTGACCCTACAGACTTTCTCAGGGATCAACGGCACACTTCCCATCTGAAAACAAAGTGAGTTCACAAATGCACGCACAAATGATCTGGTTCTCAAATTAGGTAATAGTGCAGTAATGATTCTCCTCTCCAAACAAGACACCTTATCAACAGAATTCAAAATGATTTATTTTCATTCACAAAGATAACGCAAAAGGAGAGGAAAGGCGTTCCTAGCTGCACGCAGCAGAGTGACTTACCCTACTTAAATGTCAGTGTAACTCTGCAGTTCATGTTTCCTTGCCCCAATAGGTGTGAAGGAGTCTGTGGTGGTGCAGAAATCTAGGGGAAGCTCCCTGGAGCAAATGGCTCTAAGCAGAGCTGCTATCACAGATACAGTAACTTGACTAGATTAATCAATACAGTGTGTGGCACTTGCTATGCAGCAATTGAAAAGGAGACTGTCTTCTTTCAGTACCTATCAGGAAGGATTTCACATGCACTTGGAATAGTCTAAAGTACATATTTGTCATGCCTTAGTGCTCTTTCACTCTCCTGGCTTCTGTCACACTATAGACCAAAGGAACCTTGAATGTCTAGCCATTCAGCAAAATATCATCGTCCACTCCATTAATGATGGTAGTGAACAGCACTCTTTGGCAAACCTATTCTTTTGCTTCTCTGTATTTTTATCATATCTGTATGACAAAACTATAAATTTACATGATCAACTCTTGGCTTTCTCTCTGTACCATGGTGTCTCAGTTTTTGTTTGAGATACTCTTCCAGATGCCTCCCATCTGTCTGCTCTAATTTTGACCAAATGCTTTTTATTGTGCTACAGTTTTTAACGTAGGACTTTACTATGTTTCTAGAAATTGCTTTTGGCTTATTTCTGCCTTGATCTATTTCCAAAACAGCAGAGCTTGCTGGTTGTTATTCAAGATGCATTTTGCCTTCTTTTGTAATAATAGAACCCTGTGTTTTTAATTTAACACATGGATAGAATAAAAACTACATGTCCAAGATTGCCCTCCAGCTAAGGGAATCTATGTGATTAAGTTCTGATCAGTGAAGTATAAGCTTAAGTGTCTGTTTCCCATGAAGTCTGATGTCTTACACAATGATCAACACATGATGAACAGTAGATATTGTTGACCTACTGACTCAATGTTTGCTCATCCTTAGAGAGTTTTTTCTCTTGATCGTTTATACTGCTCACTGAACTCGTACTCTTCAGGGCTGCTCTCAAATGTATCCTCTGAGAAGTTTTCTTATCTCTTTCCCACCCCTATTAGAATTATTTCTTGTACTAATATTTGTATCTCAGCATGAGCAATTAGAGCTGATATTCATTCTCTATGATAGTAGTCTCTCTGTGGTTGCTGTAGTGGCAAGGTTGTTGAGTACTGGTTAATTTGACCCAGCTATTCACCTTCAATATTTATAGTGGTACAACTCATAATAGCAAAATCTTGGAAGTGGCCTATATCCATCACCTATATCCATCACCATAGATAAGGAGAATGTATTTATATACAATAGAGTATAACTCTG